GGGGGGGGGGGGGGGGGGGGGGGTCGTACTCCCATTTTCCAGCCCAAATTTTGACTAAATCCCATTGTCTTAGAGCACAAATCCCATCATAAGAAAAGATAGATAAGAAAACTTGTACTTCTGTTAAACAGTACCGCTTAAAAAACAAAGTGATTTTTACAAAAAAGCATATTACAAATTTAATGGATTAATAATCGGCTATCCGGCTAAATAAATATGTTAAAAACACGTGCAGCACACCATTACACGTGCTTTTTATAACACGGGACAAATAATTGTAATTTCTTACCATTTCACTGATTTTTAGTCTCCCCAAAGTCTTTATATTTAAAGACCTAACAGAATATTGCCAAAATACAAAACCAGCGCATACTTTTTCTTACTTTTAGCCTTTCCAAATAGATCGCTTACTTCGACAGTCGAATTTCGAATAGAAGTGAAATAATATTTTTACATCTGTCAAAAGTATATTTGACATGTGTCAAATGTATATTTTGTATATTAATGTATATTTCCGATTTAGTATTTTACTACCAAACATATTTTTAACGTCAGAGATAGAGTAAATAAATTGAGGTCTTAGAGCTGAAACGTGTATACACAGGGTGTATAAAAAAAAACTGAACAGATTTAAAATTGCTCTCAATTTCGCAAAACAGCTATTTGTATCCGGTTTTTTTATATATATATAGCCTCTTTGGGTACTTATAATGTAGAATAATGAGAAAAATTTCTCAAACTCAAATTTTGTGAACCAGGGGTGTGTGTCTTTTCCAACAAAATAAAAATTGCTCGCACACAAAATTTAAAAGCTGCAATCATATTTTGAGAGTTAACAGATGGAAAATTTGTTGGGTTTTTAATTACTGTACAAAATTTCAGACAATTTGGTTTAGTTTAAGCCCTTAACTATTCACGCAAAGTTACAATTTTCCTGAAAAATCAGCTATTTGCATGCTTAATTAATGCATTTGCCTAATTTGCATATGTCAGCAATATGCAAATTAGGTAAAGGCATTATTTAATCATGCGAAAGGCTGACTTTTTAGAACAAAATGAATAGTTAAAGGGCTTAAACTAAACCAAATTGTCTGAAATTTTGTACAGTAATTAAAACCCCGACAAATTTTCAACCTATTAACTCAAAATATGATTACAACTTTTAAATTTTGTGCGCGAGTCATTTTTAATTTGTTGGAAAAGACACACCCCCTGGTTCACAAAATTTGAGTTTGAGAATTTTTTTCATTATTTTACATTATAAGTACACAAAGAAGCTATATATATAAAAAAACAGATACAAATAGGTGTTTTGCGAAATTGAGAGCAATTTCAAATCTGTTCAGTTTTTTTTTATACACCCTGTAGAATACCTTTAAAATGAATTTGCAAAAGTCCCTTGGATTTTATTGTAGCTAACGCTTAAACGAATCCAGAAAAAAATACGGCAAAAGTACGCAAATATTTTTTGTTTTTATCATAAAAATACAATAAATATAACTATATTTACTTGGGTTGCTGTGGTGGCGAACAATCGTTATGTGAAAATATTCGCCCCCCCCCCTGTTCAGTAGCCACGAGACATTTTCGCGAAGATTGCGTGTGACTTTCAAATGATTTTTTTGAGATTGTAATCCTAAATGCCATAAGGGATGTTATATCCCTTAAATGCAACAGATATTTTCAATTTTTCAAATCGGATTATTCTACAATGAAAATACTCTTGGATACTGTAATCTAAATACATATGAGGACGAATTAGTAGCATTTATTGGGCAGAGAAGCGGCGAGACATTGCAAATGGCGGCAATCTGACGAAATATCGAAGGACACAATATTGAAGATAAAATAAACTGCACTGCTTCAAAACCTCATGAAACTTCCTTGAAATCTTCCTTAGCCATTTATCATTATGTAAAAGTACAACAACTGGATGATATTTGCGAGATTCGGCGATAAAAAGCAAACAAGACAGCACAATATGGCTGAAATTGTGTTTTCGTGGGGGGTAAGTGAAATAAAATGTATTATATTTTAATAAAACAATGACAATCCTTATGAAAACTACAATAATTATATTAAATTAAGCATAGTTTTTCATCCCATGATAATTTTTTTTAGGAAATAAGAATATTTAATTTCTGCCAGGCATATTAGTTATTTTATGCATAATTAGCAATTTACCTGGGGTGGTGCATGGTGATTTTCTGGTAAAATATTATACTAATTTTTCCTTCCAATGACCACCCCTAAAAGCAACCCTTCTAAACACTATAAGCACTTCAGAAAGGCTATCGCTTTTCCTTTTCGGAAGTTAGAGCTATGTCGACACTGCCGTTTTAGGGCAGGGTCATTTTCAGGACTTTCGCCCCGGATTCAGGTTTTCGCACATATGCCATGTTGACTGCCATGGTCATTTTACCCTAAAACAGTTGAGATTACCTGTCCTAAATGAATCGCATACAAACTCATATACAGGTCGTAGACTAGTTCCAATATTGGAAAATTAAAAGTCTTTATTGGAATATTTCGCTTTAAAGTTCCAAAGAGCACACAATGATTTACCAAGCTTGAATATTAAACACTCCAATATTGGAATGTCATTGGTACTTCAATGGTATATATGCAATATAAAGTTCCAATATTGGAAAATTAAAGTCTTTATTGGAATATTTCGCTTTAATTTAAAGTTCCAAAGGTCACACAATGATTTACCAAGCTTGAATATTAAACACTCCAATGTTGGAATGTCATTGGTACTTCAATGGTATATATGCAATACAAAGTTCCAATATTGGAAAATTAAAGTCTTTATTGGAATATTTCGCTTTAAATTTCCAAAGGTCACACAATGATTTACCAAGCTTGAATATTAAATGACTCCAATATTGGAATGTCATTGGTACTTCAATGGTATATATGCAATATAAAGTTCCAATATTGGAAAATTAAAGTCTTTATTGGAATATTTCGCTTTAAAGTTCCAAAGGTCACACAATGATTTACCAAGCTTGAATATTAAACACTCCAATATTGGAATGTCATTGGTACTTCAATGGTATATATTCAATATAAAGTTCCAATATTGGAAAATTAAAGTCTTTATTGGAATATTTCGCTTTAAATTCCAAAGATCACACAATGATTTACCAAGCTCTATTTTTAATATTGAATAAGATTGACGAGGACAGAACAACATGCGTAACAGCATATAGTCTTTTGCTATAACTGTATTCCTGATGTTATTAAAGTTTTGGAATTACTGTACTTTAAATTACAATACACAAAATGAATTTTTCATAAAACTACTTTATTCATTACAACAAAAATCCAGTCCAGAAAGCTATATACAATCATGAACAGGTGATATAAACTATTAACACATACTGTAGTTTAAATGGCGAAAATATAAATATAGTTCAGTTCTCCAGCCATTTGCTATATTCGGTCAACCAAATGCCACTTGCAATACCGAGGATGCTGTCAAAGGAAATAATCTGATTCTGCGAACCATGCTTAGGTATCCAAACTCCATTTTCTTTCACAAAAAAGCGACACTGCAAAGTTTTCCGTTGAAGATTAAATGCACTCACTCTCGCTTTCCATATTTCATCTTCTTCTCCTCCCTGGACTAATATCATATCATTTGATACTGGATAGTATGGTACTATAACAGATCCAGACACGATCAGAAAAATCCTCCTCATGAAGTCAATTACAACAAGTTTGTTATCACCATCAAGTGCTTTCTGAAGCATAACTTTCCTGCTTATATACTTGAGCTCCCCAACAACAATTTGATTATCTTCTTGTACAGTTTTATGAAAATTGCTGGTAGCATCTCCAGTCCAGTGAAACCTTTTCGATCTAAGGAAGGCTCTACTTTCTCCTGAGATACTGAATATTGTTAGTATCTTTCCAAGAATTTCACCTTCATGGTTGATGAATATGATAGTTTCATTTTCTCTATAAAGTAGCCCATTAAATTTATGTCCTGGAAACCATACACTACGGCAGGATTTACCACTTTCTTCAACATTTTTTAGCTCTGCTTCAACACATTCTGCTACCAGCATTTTGACATCTTCTGAGAGGTGATAATCTTGAAGGCCACCAACAAGGATACCTTTATTGCTCTGGTTTCTGATACCAGCATCCATTGAAACCAACATTTTTGCTTGATTAATTGATTTTGCCCATATCTATAAAATGCCAAGTGCATGACGAAAATTACCCATGTAACTAAATTAAAATAACTTGTTTCAGAAAAAGACCTATAGCAATTGTGTTCATAATAATTCGTGCCAATTTATGGAGTATTAGGAAACATGTTAACATGAGAGGTGTGATACGTACTGACCATGACTGCAAAACAAAAAATGCAACCCAAAATACTTACTATAGTATACAAATACAAAAATAAATAGATTAAACATTAAATTTCTAATAACGCCTGGTAATAATACCTTAGCACGGTCAACTTTGTCTTCTTGCAACCTTTTTCTTTGTTTCTTCTGATTCTTAGCAACGTCGAACTTCAGTTGCTGCAAATGTAACCTCAATATTCTTGTGATTATTGGACTGCCTGATGTATCTTTTCACTGCCCTTTCTTTTACCCAACAGGAATAGTTGTCTAGGTCACTAAACCTTTGTATATCCTCTTTGAAATGCTGTACGTTGTGAAGCATTATGACACAATTTTGTGGACCCCATTCTTCTTCAACATGCATGGCATAGCGCAAAGCCATTTGATGGAATGTATGTGCTTCTGTTTCAGTCCAACCATTCCGTGCATGATTCAGCAAAACTCTTCCATCCTGGCGATACATAGCCATGATTGCATTTGTGACTGGTTGAGCAAACCAGCCAGCACAACCTCGGATGCAGGAAAAGCAAATCTGGAGTAATCTTCAGCTAATAGAGTATTAATTGGAAAGTTAATTAACTTTACCAAAATTCATGCCAAAACGTCAAAATTACAGAACAGTACAATATATAGTCAATACTAATTGGGAATCAGAATATTTTCGGTTTTGGGACCTGAGTGAAAGCTCCCCTCAAAAATTTCAGGGGTTTTTATTTGGGGGGAGGGGGAATCCCCCCCCAGTCACAAACCCAGACATCATTTCCCATGCTCTTCCATTTCCAAGTGAGGGGATAGAAATGATGTCTAGGTTCACCAACTGCACCTGTAAGTGATTACCAATTGTATATGCAAGGTTATATATGCCTTACCACTTACCAGTTTAATATTAGTTAATAATGATATGCATATTCTATTTTCGGGGGAAATGCCCGCCCAGAATTTAGCTATTTTTAGAGGGGGATTATGGATTTTCTCCCTATCCCCCCCGCAAAATAATCCTGAGGAATATATTTTGTCCATTTCGGATGAAGCAATTGATGAGCCACACTCGCGTAAGTTTTGATTGCCCAATTTTGTGATGCAAATAGACGCTAGTGCTTGATTGCAGAACGTGTAGTTAAGGAATAAAATCAACCACATTTTAACAGTGAGAACGTATACAGCTGTTGTATTGACATTACATCATGAAGATCTCATAATGATTCAACCCACTACTTCTCATTTCAAAATACTAACCTTTCCAATAGCCAATACGAGTTTTAATTCCTGTTGGGAGTCTGGATGCTCTAAATTCTAGAAAAATATATTAAATAACTTTTAAAATATAGTTACTATATTTATACATATTTATATCTTGTATCAACATGACCTTCCCATCTCAAATTACTTGGAGTTCTCAGTTCAAGACGTTCGAATGTTGTCCCACATGTATGACTACAATACCTGCTGTTCACGGAAACTCTTGTAAGCGTTTATCGACCACTTCCCAGTCAATAGGATGATCCTCATCATGTATAAGCCGGTCAAGAGCTGTCTTTACAATGTTAAGCTGAACTGTATATGCATTTCATCAAACACCAAATCTTGGTCATAACAAAATCCATATAGCGGCCACAACCTATGCAAAATTGACAGTCCGGTATAGCCACATTCCTTTGCAAGGTTTTCCCTCACCATAATTCGTTCTTCTTCATCAATTTGTCTAATGTGCTCTACCTTCGGCAAGATACTTTTTGACGGCGGAGGAAATCTGGCTTGATATCTGTTATTGGTGAAGTAGTAATGGTGCTGGGCTGGGAAATAAGCACCTGTATTTTTTTAAAAAAAGTGTATTACATTAACATTTTTGAAATTCTAGATTGATGCAATAATCGGAATATCATACCACATAACAGATCAATGTACATAAGATCATAACTCATATTAAGTCTCATATGTCACAACCACCTTTTAAATAGGACATTAATGCCTGCAATATAGACACACACATACCGATATACGTAACAATTGGGCTCAGCGGATTAAAAAATTAAAGAATACGAGGAAATGAGTCGGCCACAACAACTTATGAATAATTTTCAATCTGTCCACTACTAGACTACTAGCATTCTAAAATAACGCAATAAATCATTATCCACCGCCCTAATAGGCAATAGCATTAATAAATTGTTTTGTCTTATTTGTTCATTATCAATCAATGAAACCTAGGTTTAATGTCATTAAATATTAACCTAAGTCATTCTGTTTGGAAAATACAGAGCATAAATGCATAATTATATGAAACATTGAAACAAGATAAGGTATCAATTTATTAAGGATGCCATTTTAGCAATTTTGATTCTACTTCATGAACAAAGTTTTTTTAATAGTGTTTTTAATAAATGATCGATTTTCTAAAGTAGACCCAGACTCCCCCAGAGTTTGAAGAAGGGGAGCTCCGCCCCCAAGCACCCCCCCACTTCTAGAGCACTGGTCAGTTCATGTAAAGGTGTACTGTACAGCTGCAAGAACAACGGCACTAAAATCAGGGTGTTAGCTAGTCCATATACTGTCCGTTTGACGGACTCTTCCCAATTGAAGTAGCTAAGGGGCTTTCCCAACTGGGTCTACTGGAAGATTTTCATTTTTTCTGATGAGAAAGTGCATTGCGTTTGATTTTATATTATTATATCAAAGAACGTTTTTACTTTTTCCCATTAACTATTTTCTCAAAATGTATTGCGTTTCATTCATATTGGGTGTGTATTCACTTAAATGAAATGTACAAAACAAAGTGTAATCGGTGTGCATTTTTCAGTGTTCATTTACCGGAAATGGAATGTACAAAACCAAGCTACCGTTGTTTGCATCTAAGGAGAAACACATTGGAAAAAAACACTATTTATTCCAACACAAGGAGTTTGTCTTTGATCGATCAAAAAAACTTTCCCAATTTACGTTTAACAGACAAAACTTTTTTTCTCTGGCTAACACCCCGAAAATGTGAGACTATTGCCACGACTTTTCAAAACTGTACTTACTTGTTGTGTCACAACGACGGCACCCTTTCTTACCACACTTAATAAACTTCCCAATCTCACATAAACCCACGTGGTCACCAGAAGTGCAAAGCACAAGGTGACGCAATGTTGCTGGTCCTGCAGGAATTTCATCGACCATAATGGCATAATTTACTGGAATACCTAGATTTACAATATAGCATGTATTATGTATAAAACTATATATATGTTAGCGTTATAAACCGAGTAGGAGGTTTATAACTGATATATTGCCCCCGAGGACGGCAATATATCAGTTATAAACCGACTTTCAAGGTTTATAACTAACTTATATCACGTTTGTGGAGGTTTTCTAACATATTTTGTCATTTTCAAAAATTTTTAATGAAAAATTCACGTGTTTTGTCTACAAGTTTAATCCAATTATTTATTCAAGGTATATAAGCTAGTTATAAACCTCGGACGATCAAAGACCTCCGACACAAATGTGATATAAATATATATATGTACTAGATAAAACATGAGCAGCATAAAACTCGAGCCGAAGGCAAGCTTGTATATCAGATACAGATCAGAACGTTTTATCATACTTAAAAAATGACCCATCTTATGAGTTCATTGACGAAGTAATTTTAAAAATAAACATTGTCTAAGCCAAGAAAATCAAAGCTAAAGCATATGCCCCCATAAATATTTTAAAGTAATTAAATTTATAATTCGGAATATTCCTTAATGAATTACAGCTAAATAACAACTCACCACAGCTTTTAGATGTTGAAGAGAATAGCTGCCATCCATCCCAATGTACTACAGAAATAAAACATATAGTTATTATAAACTTAATTAACAATTTGGCATATATAATAAGTAAAAAGAGATGAAAAAATAGTCAAATACTAAGATAATTGGGTGTGTATTTAAATTACTGAATTCTTGTATTTCATTAGCCTTTACCAGGTTTATGTTTACTTTGGAGGATCCATAGTTTTACTGTAATTAACATAAAGTAAAGGGTTAATGCCAAAAACAGTGACAGAACTTACAATCATAGGCAATATTTCTTGGATCACCTCTTACTTGTTGTGGAATATGTTGAAAGATGTTTTGACAAGATGGGCTCTCGACAAGTCTTGTGGTATCAACTCCATCACAAGCTACTGGGGCTGACAGGAGCTCGTCTGCAGAAATAACAATTCCACATCCATTTTCTGGACACTTTGCTGGGAGGGTCCACTCAGTGTCTGGGTCCCAAATGTTCCATCCCAGAACTCTTTCTTACACAGCCAACCCCACCCTTCTTTCCATTGTGCAGGAAGCCAATGGCTTTTTTCTCTCCAGTGTGCTGTCATATTTCTGCACATTGTAGGAAAAGAACACCATCTTTTTACTTTGTCTGTTGCACTAAGATAATAATATGGAATTGTGCCCTCTTTGCCACAATGTATACATAGTTCAGCTTTTTCTCTCATTAAACCAAACAAACATGGGTGACTTTCATCCAAGCATATCCAATACAACTGTGGAGATTTGTATCCAACATTTTCTAAAAATACCTGTACCTCGGACCAACAAGATGGCCAGAAAGGTAATAATTGCTCATTATTTGCACAGTGCAGATTCTGTCCCCAGATCAACAGTTCCTCCAAGGTTTTTAGAGAGAACCCTGCTTCACCTTTTATTTCTACCAGTCTGAGCACAGCATCCAGAACAAAATCTTTAATGACTGCATCTTCATCCAATTCCTCATCTTCATCCAAATCTGGCAATTCAGGATCACCACCACCATTGTCAACAGGGTCACCACCAATATTGCCATGATCATCATCACTTTCACCACAATCATGAACATAGTCACCACCCTCATCATCATCACTGCCAGTGTCTCCAGAATCAATATTAATATTACCACCACTGTCATGAATATCACCTCCACTGTTCCCATCACCATCACCAGATTGGACATTCTCACCATTTAGAGGTTGGTGTTCGTCTATTGCTGCTACTCTTTCTCTTTGCATATGCCTCCATGCAGTCATTGGATATGCTGCCCTGCCTTCACAAATGGGCACATTGGCAATGAACATGGGCATTTCCTCTTGCTGATATGTTTTGCGCTTCTGCACTGTCTAAACATCTGCAGAGGTTTCCCTGGGTCGAACAAGATTCCATATAAAGACCAACAATTCATTTATATTTATTTTATCTTAACCATTCCCTTCTAAAATATTACGACAAGCAAAACAGCAACACACTTCCATCCCAAGATTTCCATCCCTCAAATTGTGGTGACGTCATTGTGTCGAAATGAAAAATAACCTCTGATTCTCTGAAACTTGCCGTAACACCGCAACCCTACAACTAAACCCAATCTAACTCTAAAGATTACCTTCAAGATAAACCTAACTAAGTTAAACCATGAACAGTACGTAATTTTTACGTTTACTGACTTTACTTGATGTTTAATTTGGACATTTAGTTGATGCAAACGATTGAGGGACTGGTGTCGAGTTTCCTGCCATTTTTCCCGCCAATGTATAAACCGCCATTTTGCATTTCACAGTTGACTGTGCACTGCTTGACTTCGACAATTGACATCTTTAATTCATATATTTTTGGCTGCTGGTTTATGGAGGAATCAAGTTACGTCATGGGCCTAATGGAGACTAGTACTCAAAATAGTAAAGACGAAGGTAAACAAACACTTACTAGATAATTACTGTACATAAGTTAAATGCAGGACCCTCGCATATTGAATTTCACATAATGTGATTTCACATACTTTAATATTTCATTGAATTTTATTTCACTTACAATATTCAAATACTGTTATGTACTTATGCATGATTCACGTTTCAGCACAAGTGCACTAGGAGCTATTTGTCAAGGCTTTATATTATATAATACAGTAACCCCACTTTTAAAATAAATCTGGATATATTAAAAGGCCTATTAGAAATATACCTGTGGGACTTTGGTTTGTAGGTCGGAAATAATTTTTTTTTGAAAAAAAAAACATATCTTTGGGTCAGACTCAGTCGCCATGAAAAGTCACTTTTCATACACAATACGCTACAAGTATACTTGCATCAAAAGAGCACGTCATTGGCCACTGTAAGACCCCAGCAAGTGTATTTAAATAGGATGTACAACAAGGCAACCTGGCTATGAGCATCAACCCCAGCAAGTGTATTTAAATAGGATGTACAACAAGGCAACCTGGCTATGAGGATCATTGTTGAGCCTTCGTGGTTATGCAGTGGGTTTGATTCTCACTTTCGACTTTTAATATGTGTAAAGAGTATGTTATAAACACTCAACACATGGTCGGGCACTCATGGAAAGTCGACAAGAGTTAAGGTTTGGAATTAATTTAAACAGTCCATAGTTATTGGTTCTTATACTGTTGTGGTGACCCAGCCATTCATGCATGGTGATAGGGAAGTTAAATAAATTAATTAAAAAAAGTTGTGGTGTACAGTGCTAGCCAGGGATTAATATTGTTTACTATTTTTTCTTGGACAAGAATATTTCAAATTTTAAAGAGAAAAAATATAAATTCATGGATTTAAACAATAATTATATTATTTGTCTTCTTTGTAGCTAATTACTGTGGTAATATTTAGAACTGGGAATATATATATGTAATTGAAAATAGCATTTTCATATTCTATAAACAATCAGGGGGATTTAGATTTAAAATTATAGTAACTATTATGGTAATACAGTTAAGACACTTTGCTATTGTATAGCATTGCATCTTATAAATCTAAATATAATGAACCTTAAAATATAAATCAATGTATAAATAGTAGTATAAAAATAAATATAATTTAATTATCTATTTAAAATCAGATTAATAATAAAATGTAATATTTGCAAGTGCTTGTACCTGCAGTCATGCAGACATTGCAGTGTTGTAGGTATTGACAACAAATTATAAAAAAATGCTAACCTTCCTCCAAATATTCCATAAATTTAAAGTGCCTATGACACGAAATTTCACCCCAAATGTTTATGATTGCATTGTAAAGATCACTTAAAATGACTTAATAATTTCTTTTATAGAATTTTGATAACTTGCTTCCTTTTCATGCAAGATATTCAACTTTGTTTCATATGCAAATATCACCGGTGTGACATCACATCGCATAATGACATTTTGAAAACGCAATATTTTACCTTGATAAAATATTTTTACAAACAAATACAGAGGCCCAGCGGGCAAAAAGACGTCGATACAACGTTGAAACGACGTCAGCCCCTGACGTCGAAGCAACGTTGAAAAAATGTCGAAAATGCAAATCGATCCGACGTTGATTTAAAGACGTCGAGGCAACGTCACTAAGCAACGTCGCTTCAACGTCGAACAAAGACGTCGTTTTGACGGCAAATATCGACGTCGAAACAACGTTGAAAAAAAGGTTGGGAATGCAAATCGAAATGACGTTGATTTGAAGACGGCAAAACAACGTCACTAAGCAACGTCACTTCAACGTCGAACTAAGACGTCGCTTTGACGTCAATTATCGACGTCGAAACAACGTTGAAAAAAGGTTGAGAATGCAAATCGAAATGACGTCAATTATCGACGTCGAAACAACGTCACTAAGCAACGTCACTTCAACGTCGAACTAAGACGTCGCTTTGACGACAATTATCGACGTCGAAACAACGTTGAAAAAAGGTTGAGAATGCAAATCGAAACGACGTTAATTTGAAGACGTCGAAAGAACGTCACTAAGCAACGTCGCTTCAACGTCGAACTAAGACGTCGCTTTGACGTCAATTAACGAGGTGGAAACAACGTTGAAAAAAGGTTGAGAATGCAGGCGAAACCGCCGAAACAACGTTGCAACGTTGCTTCAATGTCGAACAAGGACATCACTTTTACGTCAATTATCGACTAACTTTGAAGCAAAGTTTAAGAAGGCTGAAAATACAAATCAAAAGCAGTCGTTTATATATATATAGGCTATATTAAATTAAGCACTAATTAAGAACGTCAAATATTTACGCCAATGACCAGCAATGCTGAAAAAAATTAAATAAACGCAAAATGCATCATCGATTATCTAGATTAAAACAATGTTGTAAAAGCGTGATAACATTAAGTAAATATATACGTACGCATTAATAATTAAGTAAATATATACGCAAATTAAGTGAATATATATATTATGTACGTTTTAATTACGGGAACTATTAACTCTGTATTTTAAGAAAATACAAAATAACAGTAGTTCCGAATAACAATTTGATTTTTAATCGACGTTTCGACTAGTTTGTGGTCATCCTCAGGATTAATAAAGATATTAATCCTGAGGATGATCAAAATCAAAATATGTTATTCGGAGTTACTGTTATTTTGTATTTTATATACGTACGTATTATAGTTAGTATCAAACACGACGAGTATATATAAATGTTGTTTCAACAAATTAATATACTAAAATATTCTATACATATACCAATGACTTTAAAAATAGTCATGTTCCATGGTTAAATTAGAGGTCCTTCAAAGACCGTCCTGCCCCTCCTCTTCTGTCAGGAACATACTTTAGAAACGAAGAAACGGCCCGAGCAATCTCTGCTTCGTTGGACTTATGGTTCTTTAAAACGGCTTCTAAATCAAAGTAATAATAAATCGGAGTAAGGAAATGTTATAAATATAACCAGGTTTATTTTATTTTATTTTGTGAAGTAAACCAGGTTTATTTTATTTTATCTTTCTATCTTTTTCTTCTACTTCCCTTGTGGTTGTTTGAGCATGCACTCTGGCCCCACTACACTCTATATATGCATGTCTGGATGCGTCGATACCTTTACTACATGCGCTTGGTGAGAGCACGCTCATGTGTATAAATATGGAGGTATATGTGGTATGGCTCGAATAAAAGTGGCAACCTTGCCAATTTAAGGGGCAATTTTATTAATTAGCCTAGTACTTAATTGGACTGTGCACCTATATATATAAGCATGCATAAGTAAAAGGTTTCATCCGCGCCGTACCAACTATTGAAGAAAAATATTAAGCCATGCACGATGCATGCTCTAATGATATTACAGTATGAATCAGTCCATACAAATATATGTACCTGCAACAACTTCAAAAATTTTGGACGTTCCAAAGGCGTACTTTTGTCCATGACCTTTCATGTTCATCTTGGACATTAGGTCATTGGTCATCAATCTGCGGAATAGAATGTATACAAAATGATTAAATGAATACCATATAGCTGTGACTTATATTATTTCAAGGTAGCTATACACTGCATGGGAGCTATATAGAGCTTGTTAAAATAATAAACGTGTGTAATATATATATCTCTTTGCCTGTCTACTATATTCTCCAATTCTTATATAGTTTAATCTGCATGGTTTGACATGCACCATGCAGTATATGTATATGTGTATATGTATATGCAGTATATGTAAAACTAGCGAATTAAGAAATTCAATCTAACACTTCTATCAATCTTTTTTATTTATACTTATTACTAGAATCAGTATCCAAAACAGATTTATATATGTCTTTGGTTTAAAACTATTTGTGTAAAATATCCGTTTGGGGGAAAATGTAATTTGCGAGCTCTAGAGCCAATAAATTACAACTATATATATAAGCCCGAATGATTTATTTGACTTTAAAAGTATATTATACTTTTAAAGTATATATACGTACTTGGACATTATATTGCGGACATTTTCCTTTACAGTAATTCCACCAATTTTACAAACTTTACAGAGCTAAAAACGAATTCAAAATCTTTAGTACCTTTGCATAAAAAGTAGTAGCTATTTCCCATTCAAACCTGAATTTTATTGGTACGTCAGTGAAAAAAATGGCCTGCATAACTGAAGTAATTAATAAAATTTAGGTTACTTTGTCAATTTCTCATCTGTATTAATCATGGATAATAAAATAAATGGATAGGAGTTTAACTAGCTGACGTGACCTAATATTTTCAATGGGATGATATATATGGCGTGGTCGAATGTTGAAACCTAGTTGCAAACC